CTTCTTGTCCTGCCTTCAGGCGCCTTGGAAAATAGCTTGACTCCCTCTTCTTTGTGGCAGTCCCTGAGATACTGGAATACTGCTATCATGTCCCCCCTCGTCCTTCTCTTCATTAAACTAGACATACCCAATTCCAGCAGCCTTTCCTTATATGCTTTGGCCTCCAGTCCCCTGATCATCTTTGTTGCTCTTCTCTGTACTCTTTCTAGAGTCTCAACATCTTTTTTACATCGTGGTGACCAAAACTGGATGCAGTATTCCAAGTATGGCCTTACCAAGGCATTGTAAAGTGATATTAATACTTCACGTGATCTTGATTCTATCCCTCTGTTGATGCAGCCCAGCACTGTGTTGGCCTTTTTGGCAGCTGCAGCACACTGCTGGCTCATATTTAAGTGATTGTCCACTAGGACTCCGAGGTCCCTCTCACAGTTACTACTATTGAGCAAGGTACCCCCTATACTATACCTGTACATTTGGTTTTTCTTAACATCTACCAAAAAACATAATAGAGAAGAAATGCCTCCTGCAGTCTTAACTGTTTTTATTGTGTGCAAAGTACAAAATTATGCCAATCAGCAGGTATGGTTGAGCTTTAAACCTTCCTTCCACTAAAATTCAGCTTTTTAGTAGTATTCATGTACACTATATGAACACCAAGATCCCAAAGCACAAAAGGATCAACCTGGCTTCTAATTCTGGTTTGTGAGTAGGAGATGCTGTAATTATTCATAACTTGAGTGTGAACCTGCTATATGATAGGGTTCTTAGAAGAATCAGTACAAGCTGTTTTGACAAAGTACATTCTTCCAGTTCTATCATTTTATGCAAATTATTTGTTTACATTCAGTGGATACTGAAGGAATATAAATAGAGTTACAAACTCCTATAGATTTTTCTGTATGTAGCTATTAAGAAATTACAGCATGAAAACATTTCTGAATATAAATGCTTCAGGATTTTTATTTTTTATTTATAAAAGTAAACATTTGTTATTTATTTTGCAGGTGCTAACATCATGTCGGGCCTTTCTGTTAACTTCCCGTATTCCTACCAAGGTAAGGCTAAATTTTACCACTTTTTTCCTGTAATCTAGCAAAGTTCACTTATTTTTAAGATAATATTTTGGTCATAGTCTTTGGAATATAATAAGATGATTGAGAATAGTTAATAGAATACTTCTAAGAGAAAATGCTGTGCATTGTTTCCTCTTTTTTCTAAATTGCTTAAACTGTTAGGATTGGAACAAATTTATGCAATCTTCTTGAACGTATAGGGGCACACTTTACTTTTTCTTCCTGTTGAATGTGAAATTTTGTGAAGGTATCCATGTGTCTGAAAGATAATTTAACTTCACAATGTTTTTTAAGTTCTAAGCTGTTGATAATATGAAGCAAGAATGACACATGATTTTTCCAAACTGAGTTCTTTATTGTTTAAGACCTAAAAACAAAATCTTTCGAGACTCTGCTATCTGCATCTACAATATACTGTGTGAACTATTAGGGAGGAGCTGTCTTCATCTTCTTTGTCTCACAAATAAGATTGAGACTAAGTTGCCTGAGACTGTTGCCACTTAACTCTTTCCTCCCTTCTGGGAATCCACCTCCTTACTACATTCCATCATAGAAACTAATAAAGGAACATTCAGATTACTGCTTTGCAATGATATAAAATCCAAATGAGTAGAAATCAGTTTTTATTATAGTAGCCTTCTGGGGCAATTAACAAATAGTTGTATAAAAATTTATGTAAAGACTATTTCAGATCATATGGCTGGATTATCCCCTTGCTTGATTCTTAAATGAAAAACCCCTCTTGTTCATTTACATATATCAATATTTTAAGTAGGTTCACTAATTAGCATTATGTCTCTGCAGAATTCTTGAGACATAAGTTATAATTGAGCTTCTCTTTATAATGGCCACCATGGTGGTATTCAAAGTTGACAGACTTATCCAAACAAAATTCTTTGAAATAATCCTCTGCAGTGGAGTTTGGAGATGTATTATTCTACAGGGCATGAAGGAAACTGATTCTGAAATCATTTTGATTCTGCTGGCCAGGACCTGTTAGTTCCTTTGTCTTGCGGGCTTTAGCAGGTCTGAATATAAACATTGGGGCACAATGCTGATTTCATTAGTATTACTTCCTGGTCCAATCTTACTGCCATTTTCACTATGAAGACTTGAGAGTTTGCCAATATCTTTCTAGCCTCATTCTGCTCCGTATTCCCAAAACGGGATAATAATTCATTGTAGAATTTGCCAGGGATGTATTTTTCACTAGTGGGAGTAAGGAGGAAATGGGGGTTGACCTACAACATCGTTGATTTCTCATTTTTCTAGAATTGGTTCTATTTACAACTTGAAAATGAATGGTGTAAAGGAATGTTATATAGTTTGCTATATACAAGCAGTCCTCAACCTACAACTGATCACTTAGTGACTGTTGAAGTTACAACTGACCCCCCAAAAGGGGACTTATGGCCTGGATTTGAAGTTCAGATGGTCAGGCTCCCTTTGTGGTCACATAACTGAACTTTGGATGCTTGATAACACAGTTGTTATTTGCAACATCCCATGGTCATCTGACCGTGTTTTATGATGGTTTTTACCAAAAAAAACCCACTCCTAATTTTCAGCCAAACTGCACCCATAGCAAACCATTGATTCACTTAACAATCATGGAGTTCACTTAAAGACTGCCACAAAAACCATTGTAAAATCAGGTTGGTCACATGACCAATGCACTCTGGCTAACATGTTGCTGGCATACGTCCCTGTTTTTTGCTTTGACAACAACTACTTCAGAAAGACTAACAAAATGAAATAGGAGTGACACTTGATTTTCCCTTTCTTAATTATATGCATCATATATAGAAACATTAGTCAGAGTCAGCTGTAGTGGAGTAACATTACCAAAGTTTGAATTGTGGCAAACATGCCAAATTAAACGTGCCACATCAGGAAATAAGAGGATATATTGAGCTTTAAAAATATATTTGGAAATTTAAAATCTGTAAAGTAGTGAATCCTGAGGGGGGGGGGAAACTGAGCTCCATAGAAAACCATGATTAACACAGAATAATCTTTTTAAAAAAATGACTTGCAGCAAATTTCTATTCAGATACAAAAGAATTTCTTCTTGTTGCAGTGTCGAAGGTGTGAATGTTTTAAATTAGTGGGTTGTCCATTTGAATGTGTTCAATAAGGAGGATCTTATTACAGGTAATCCTCAACTTACAACAGTTCATTCACTGACCGAGTTACAACAGCACTGAAAAAAGTGATTTATGACTGTATTTCCCACTTACAACTGTTGCAGCATCCTCATGGTCACCTGATAAAAATTTAGGTGCTTGGCAGCTGACTCATATTTATGATGCTTGCAGTGTCCTGGGGCCATGTGATCACCTTTTGCAACGTCTTGACAAGCAAAGTCAATGGGGAAGCCAGATTTATTTAACAACCGTGTTAGTAACTTAACAACTGCAGTGATTCACTTAACAACTGTGGCAAGAAAGGTCGTAAAATGAGGCAAAATTCACTTAACTGTTTCTCTTTCAGTTATTGAAAGAATAGTTGAATAATGGTATTATAACTCCTCAACTTTTCTTCTGAAGGTTAAACATTCCAAATTCCTTCAATCTCTCTTCACATGATTTTGCTTTTTAGTCCCTGGTAATCCTTATTTCCCTCATCTAGATCTGAACTGTGCAAAATAAAGTAGAAATTTTATTTTTCTTGTTTACTTCTGAAGTTGCAGCCTTTTTTTGTTGTTTGCTGCCACATAGCACCACTGAATCATTTTCAGTTGATTATAACTGCTATTCCAAAATCTTTTCCACCTACCATTCATTACTAAGCCAGGATTTCCTAACCATAATCCCAGCCCTGAGCATTTTATTTCTGTTTCCTAAGCAAGGAACTTTGTATTTATTTCCGTTAATTTTTTTTCCAGGGCTCTTTCTCTGATCAGGTTTTCAATTTTATTTCTATTTTCCAGCCATTTAAATTTTGTGTCATCTGCAAATCTAATCAACATTTCTTCTACTTCATTGGGCAATGAATAAAAATGTTGTACGGGATGCAGTACTGAATCTTGTGGTGCCCCATTTGACACCATCGATTTCAATGAGAACACCATTTCAGTACATTTTTCAGACCAGCCATTCATTTAATTGTAATCTCATGTTTGGCAGCTTCTTCTTTTCTTTTGCCAGATACTCAGAGTCTATTTCTTTTCTCAGCCTGAAAAATGTTTCAGAGTTCCAGCTGTGCAGATCATCATCTCTGTCTCTTGTTCCTACTTGTCCACTAGATTGGCCTCTTTAATTGTTTTTCTTTCTTATGTAACGATGTTTTCCTGTTTTCCAATATTAGAGATTTCCATTCTGTCTATTCTAGCATGTCCTTTGTTTTATATACTTACTTATGTTAGCTGCTATGAATTGATGGCATACAAATTAATTCAAAGCAATAAATAAGTTTACTCTTTACATGAAGTGTGCTCACTTGTTATTCCAGTCCTTCAAGTACTGCTATAAGTTAGCACTTGTCCATTTGAATGCATTCAGTAAGGAGGATCTTATTACAGGTAGTCCTCAACTTACCACAGTTTATTTAATGACTGTTCAAAGTTACAACGGCACTGAAAAAAGTGATTTATGAGTGTTTTTCACACTTACGACCATTGCAGCATCCCCATGGTCACATGATTAAAATTAAGATGCTTGGGAGCTCACTCATTTTTATGATCCTTGTAGTGTCCTGGGATCATATGATCACCTTTTGTGACAAGCAAAGTTAATGGGAAAACTAGATTCACTTAAAAACCATGTTACTAATTTAACAACTGCAGCGATTCATTTAACAACTGTGGAAAGAAAGGTCATATAATGGGCAAAATTCACTTAATAAATGTCTCACTTGGCTACAGAAATTTTGGGCTCAATTAAGTCAAGGACTACCCGCATATCAGATTGTTTGCAATCAGAAGCCCAGAGCCAAAAACATTGCATGTTAATACTGCAGATTCTGCCTTTTCATCTGTATTTTTGTTTTTCATTGCCAGCAGAAGGCTATTTTTCCTTTTTCTTTTCTGATTAGGTAAGGACACACTGTTGATTTGATGAAAAACATGAAGTTTCCTACCATTTTCCATTTGTACTGTTAGGGGAAATAAAATTATGGCAAATCGGTTATAAAAATGATGGACAGAATGGCAAGCATGCTGAAAAGAGGGGAGCAGATAGTCTGTTACATTGAACGGCAAAGAAAACCCTTTGTAAGAGATCTCAGATGATGGGTTATTCTTGAGTCACATCAATTGCTGAAATTCTTTGATTATGGTGTCTCTTCTTGATTAACTTATACTTTTCTGAACTTCTTGGCTTTCTTGTGAACTTGCCTAAGTGTTTCATTCCTATTTGGAAGATGAAGCTTGATAGTGAACAAAACAGATTGTGATAGAACAGAGCATATATTTATGCAGACAGACTCTAAAATGTACATTTTTCCTTAATTATCTCTGCTGCCATCTTCCTCTGTTACCTAGGTCTCAAATTTTAGCCCCTTAAACCTGGGTTGTTTTGTGTATGTTTTATGCCATTCAAATGAATGATGCTCAAGGAGCAAACCATTACAATAAATTATATGTAAGTTATATGGTCAATAGTCTAATCTTTGTTTAATATGTATTTTAATCCATGTTTTGATATTTTGAAATAATTTTCTGTTCTCTCTGAATTGCAGCTAGAATTAACTTTCAGCTACTTGGAAATCCAAGGAATCACTTGCAATAAACCAGGCCAGGTGAATATTTAGTTACAAATAGCCACAGAAATACATAATGCCAGAATATTTTAATCATTTTGGTGGTTCTTCTACACAGCTTTATCCTTCAGATGAACTAAATTAGTGATATGAAAGAATTTTTTCTGGATTATGTTGAGAGGAATATTCATAGGAAGTTAAATTGCATATTTCTGCAGTATAGGTATAACAAATTAGATTTTGGTTATACAAAAATTAATGTTTCTCTTCACAAGAAAAAATAAGGATCAATTTGAATGTAGTTGTAGTTTCCATGTTCAAATAAGGTATTAAAAATGCTGTGAATGTAAAACATAAACAGCCCATGGTTTTGTATTTGGTTTATCTGGGACTTATTTTATGCATCTTCTACAAATGTTTTTCTTATTAAAAATCATGATTGGGATATAATATTTAAGAATACTTTTGTGCTCAAACCCAAGGCTTTGATAAATTCCTAATTTACTTATTTGGATAGCCTCTTAACATTCTAGATCGTAACTGTCTGTGGCTTACTATTACTGTCCATATGAGCTAGGTAAACCAGGGCTTCTCAAACCACTACTAAAAAGCAGAAAGTGCAAGAAGTTAATCAACAGAAGATATCAAGTAATACCTTTGTGTTTCAGTCAGGGGTCTCCAAACTTGGCAACTTTAAGACTTGTGGATTTCAACTCCAAGATTTGTGGACTTCAACTCCCAGAATTCCTCAGTTAAAATTCTCCAGCCAGCCATGGGAGTTGAAATCCACAAGTCTTAAAGTTGCCAAGTTTGGAGATCCCTGGTTTAAGTTGATATTGCAGTATTGTGATGATATGATCTTGCACGTTTAATGGAATCAGTTGGAGATAACTATAAGAGCAAATTACTTACCAATTTTTCTTAAATTCAGAAGGGGTGTTACTGAAATATTTACTTCAAAGGGAAGCATTTCCTCTTCCATCTTCTTTAGGAGTGGGAGGCCATACTAAGGTTTGGGACAGATTGCCATATTTTCTTCTGTCCTGAGATGACCCAAGAGTTCATTGCACTCTTCTCCATTTCGTTCCATTTTCAAAGTATTAGCAGTGTTCATCTGTGAACATTTTCCTCTTTCAAATATATCGAGATGGGTTGCTGCACCAATCTCCCTTCCTTCACAGACTCCAACACTATGGTTGGCACTAAAAGCATAAATCATATCTGTCTGCGAATCTGTAAAGCAGTTAAACCTTTCACATGGCAGCTGAGAGATCCATCATGTGATTCCAGGGGGGAAAAGAGCTGCTTTAAAGAGCAGCAGACAGATGCTCAGTTCACACATTCCAAAGCCCCTTTTTTTAAATCATATCCAAGGTACTGCACAGGGCTAATAAGCATATAGATGCACAGATTCTTTGTGATGTCTGCCATTGTAAAAAAAAAAAGATACAGAAAAAACAGTGCTGTAGGTTGAAAAAGAATGTGTAAATCAGAGATCTTTTGATAACATATTTATATGTCCTGATAATATCAGGAGCTATTCAACTGCAATTTTTCCATGGATTAGAGTGGGGCAGAAAACTGATTCTGGCTTGACATAGCAGATCATATAGCTGCCTGTGTTATGCGTCAGCAGCCCTTCCTCCTTTCAGACAGATGAGCATAGATTCTAACTGATTTTGAATGCACTGTTATTCACTGTTGATTTGTAATTTTTAAGGATTTTATAAAGATTATATAAAGGCTTACCTCATGTCTCCCCCACTTTTTATGCAGCTGATTATAGAAACTGAAAAGTGCAACATTTCTATGAAGTTAACTTCATCTGAAGATGTGCATGAAGTGTTGGCACATATTGGAACATGCCTTAGGAGAATATTCCCTGGTCTGTCTCCAGTGTAGGTACATCTTGGTATAAATGTTTACCAAAATAGACTCCATCTCTCTCTCTCTTTTTCTCTCACCTGTTGTATTTGGGTGTATCAGTGATGCTAATTTGTCTTCTCCACATTTCTAAATACATTTTTGAGAATATTTATTAAATTTATCCAAGGGAGATAGAATGGGATGGATTTCCATACATTTTGTATCAACCCTGTGGACAAAACATAGAGCAAGTTATTCTTTGGTATAATATACCAGATGTATTGACTCAAACCACTTAAAAATGGTAGAACAGAAAGGCTATGCAGCATTTTAGATTCAAATAGAAAAAGGTGTTTTGTAGCATGGAGGAGCACTTGTGTAATATCTGTTGGCTACTTTTTAAAGCAACTGCATCTTTTCCCAGAACTGTATTGTTTTCCTTCATAAGTTAAGCATTTTTTCAGGAAAAAAGGTGTTTGCTTTGAAGAAGTAGTGGCAAGTACTATGTATACTATGTACAAGTCAGAGCATTTTTTCCCTTTCAAATCCAAAGCACTGCACAATCCTTATGAAAACTTAATAGACTTAATATTGCGAGTGGGAGATAATATCTACCTAGGGAACAACTGACATTCTTGAGTTGTACAGCTATTATAGTTGCTGCTATTTTGCAGGATACCAGTACAGTAACTTCTTTGGCAGGATACCAGTTAATACCTTTTTGGCAGCTTCTGGTGGTGATATTCAGCGTTTAGAAAGCATTGAGTTTTCAAAAATATCAATGCTGTTTCAGTGAAGATTTTAAGAGTTCATTATGTGTAATCTTAATTACTAGATGTTTCGTTTTATCATAGCTGAAAAATAAACAGTGTCAAATAGCTTTTCTAAAGAATCAGATGTAACCATATGATAATTGCAAATGTTATAGAGACGAGATCACTGAAATTGCAAAGTAGCTTTGCAGAATGCTTTGAGATTTATAAGGATAAAATACATAGGGTTGAGATAGTTCTTAAATCTAACAGAATGTCAACCATTAATGTTAGCTAAGGGATAATTCCTTCAAATTTCAGATCTGGGACACAATCCCAATGGAAGCTTGCAGTTCAAGTACATAAGCACGAAATAGCAAACTACATTTTGATGAATTCTAATTCATGTATGCATTTACTTCTGGCTTCTAGGAGAATAATGAAGAAAGTAATTATGGAGCCCCCAGACAGGCTGGCTAATCTGCAGACTCTGTGGGACAGTCAAACTGTAGGAGAATTAGGCCCATGTGGTGAGTGTGTGTGTTTTTTCAGCTGAAATACGGAGTTTCTGGCATCACCAGTACACGGAAGCTTAGTTCTATTTCTGGTGTAGGATTCACTTTGGGGGAAAATATAATTAGTCCTAAGGTGTAGTTAGAATGAAGAGCCATTTTGAGCAGTGTGGGAAGATGCTATTTTTATGCTGTATCCTGCCTGCTGTATATTATAGAGGGATGTGCTGTAGGTTCAGTTAGTTGCATATTGTGCTTGAGGATAACGTACGTGCCAAAGAGAGATAAAATCAACTTACCATCAGGATATGTGTATCAGTGGTTTTAAGAATTATTCCCCACAGCGATAAATGGTTAGTGGGATTTTGTTTTGTTTTGTTTTTAGGTGGTTTTTCTCAAATGTATGCATGCGTTTGTGACTGGCTGGGCTCTCCGTATAGGGAAGAAGTGCAGTGGGTAAGTATAGAAATAAGATTGGGAAATCTTACTTGTAGTTACTGAGGCAAAAAGAAACAAAAAAGGCCTTTACTAGAGCCTATCAATTATATAAGCAATTTGTGCTAAGAAATTAAATAGTTTTCCTCTAAAATGTATTATGTTCTTTTTTTAATCTAACTAGGATGTTGATACCATTTATCTGACTCAAGATACCAGGGAATTAAATTTGCAAGACTTTAGCCATCTTGACCACAGGTAAATACTAAGATCCTGAATAAATGAAAGTGTATGGTAGTCATCTAATGTGAAAGATTATCTGTCCAGTAATAATCTTTTGATCTCATTGGGTGCTAACAGAAGAACCTTTTGTTCAGCAGGATTGTAACGGCTGCAAAGGGCTCATCTTGCTCTGGGTTTTCATTAGTTTGCAATTATGAGATGAGATATACATGAGTAGAAAATACTTTCATTCATACATCATTGGGTGAAGTAGTATTCCTTCTAGTTGCAGCTCTTCATACTTTACGGAATGCAGTTTTATAAGGAGGGGGTGGAGTTGCTCCTTGATTCAAACAGCTGACTTAAACAAGAGCTTAAAAGCCTCTGGTGTGGATCCTGACTATCTTTACAGATTGTGAACTATTGGTTCATATGTAAAATATTGTTTTAAGTATATGTATTTTATCAGTCAGAAATAATATTGTTATAGAAAGGGGTTCATTGACATTAAATACTTAAAATTGTATTGGAAATAAATTGGAACTCGCTGAGATTTTCACATAATCAGAAAATAGCTTCTTGTTCAAAGGAGCTAGTGCAGGGGTAGGCAACCTTGGCTCTTTTATGACTCATGGACTTCAACTCCCAGAATTCCTGAGCCGGCTGGCTCAGGAATTCTGGGAATTGAAGTCCATGAGTCATAAAAGAGCCAAGGTTGCCTACCCCTGATGAAATGTTAAAACATATTACAGCTAGTCATTTAGTGACTGCCTTGTTTAATGACCATTTACTGTTAACAACAGTGATGAAAAGGGAACATTGAAACCAATCCTCGCTTTGTTGTGGTCAGCATGGAAACATTTAGCATATGTTCATTCTAATTGAATGAAGAACTTATAAAAGCAACCATTTATCAGATTAAAATGCTCTATATGAGATTAAATGAAATAAAAAAATACATTTTAACTTGATTGCTGAAATCACTTCTTAAGCAGGCATTTATTTTGGGGAGGAATGAAATGCCAAAACTCAGGTCATCTTATGGTTCAGGAGTTAATGCAAGAGAAAAATGATAATTTAAAAAAAAAGTTCCTACAACCTCCCAAATTACTTCTGTCTAGAAATTTTTCTTTCAATATATGATTTTTTTTCTTCCCTTAGAGATTTAATACCAATAGTTGCTGCCCTGGAATACAATCAGTGGTTTACAAAGCTTTCCTCTAAGGATCTAAAGTTAGTAAGTATTAGGATGCAGAATGACTGTATCTTGATTCAAAGTGTTTGGGGGAAACTTGTGTAGAATATATAATTATTTTAGAAGGGTAGTTTTTCAGGCCTTCTGACATTTCATGACTTGATAGACTGGGGGTGGACAATTAATTATCCCAAGTGGCTACAGGAGAACCTGTGACTGTTATGGAGGGCTGAACCAATGTAACCTGATTTGATGTCCTCAAACTCTGTTACCTCAACTCTTCAGGCAAGGGGCGAGGCTTTCTCTCCTCGCCCTTCCACAGCCGCCATGAAAGAGCACGAGCTGGACCCGACACGAATTCTTCTCCTGCCCCATGCAGCGCATTTAGTTACATTTGATTTCTAATTTCCAATTAATCTCATGCAGACTGGACAGAGACAGCCAAAAGCTGGATGTGGCCTGCAGGCCATAAAATGCCCAGGTCTGTGATAGACACAATTGCACCAGGATTATCTGTCAGAAAACTGCTTCTTTTAGTTCTTCTAAACCTATCCTTGTATCATCAAATAATATCTAACCACTGTGTTTTATATTGGCCCCTTTTTTCGAAGGATCACAATCAATGGCATTTGCTTTTTATTATTTGTACTGAGTATTTTAGCTTAAGTTTTGTTATTAATGCTTCTAGTGAGCAGTCTGGCTTTACTTTATCCATTATTATAAATATACTGATGTTACAAACTCAAACTGGCAAATGACTCCACTCAGTGATTTCATGTAGACATTGAATAGGAGGGGAGAGAGTTGAGAGTGAGAAATATCACTTTCGTTTGCTTACTGTATTTTGAGACATTTTTAAAGCTTCCCCCCAAAATTAATCCAGAGTTCTTAAAACACTATAGTCCTAATAAAAAGAAAAAAAATGTAAGCAGATCTGTTTGAGAAATAACTCTGCTGCAATTAAATTAACTAAATTGTGCAAATATTACTGACAAGCATTTAACCATAGCAAATATTTCAGAGGATGAAGTGGAACATTCCTTGTTTAAACAGTATGGAAATCAAACAGCCCTTTATAAGGAAATTGGCCTTCTAGTCTAAGAAAACTTTAAAAAATTATATTCAAAAAACCAAGTTATACCAAAGCGTACTGTTGTTTAAGATGTCACTGAAATGTTTACACTGAACTTATTTGGTTTAGATGGAGCTAACAATTATATTTTACAAGTAGGTGTGCATATTTAAAATGGAGTTAACAGAATCAGCAGAATAATTTATATTTTGATTCTGATTCTTAAGTAAGCTTATAGTAGGATTCCTAAAGCCGCTATCCACATATATAACTTTGTAACACTGGGAAAAAAGTATTCCAGTTTCTGCATTATCTTAATTATTTGGCATTTTTAGAAGCTATAGGAGTAGTTCAGAAAACATTTTGTGCAGGTTTCTGCCTGCGCTTTATTCATTTTTAATTTTGAATGAGGCAGTTTTATATAGATAGTAGGATAAAGTTGAAGAATATTTGCAGAAGATTAAGTCTTACTAAACTTTAGATGCATTTTGGGCTACTTAATCCAACATCAAACTAAACGAACAGAAGACTAAATACATTAAAAATACATCTGTATTTTGTTTTGTCATGGACATAACTTTCCTTATGACTGGTTAGAATCACTGTTCTAATATGAATAAGGCAGGAGAAACAGTATATCAATAAGTTCACTGAACTCTTTATAAACTTGCCATCATTTCTTGTTATTAAGCTGTTCTAGAAAAAATATGTGTGATATTCTTACCATACATGGTAACATTGCTGACAAAACTTGGTTCTTTGTGGTGTAGTAGGGGGCACCAAACTGAATTTGTAGAGTTTTGTGACTAGATTTCTGAATGAACATGAATGAATTCATTGTCTGTAATTTTCTGTAATTCATGCTGTTGGTTTCTTGCACCACTGTTAAGACTTTTAAGAGGTACGACCTCACCAGACTCTCAATTTCTTATACTGCTAATATGTTTTCTTTTGTTCTTAATGTTGTACCATTATTCTTATGACAGTCCACTGATGTTTGTGAGCAGATCTTAAGAGTTGTGAGCAGATCCAGTAGATTGGAAGAGCTAGTACTAGAGAATGCTGGTCTTAGGACGTAAGTCATTCTTTTTAATTAACCAACACTAACATTTTTAATAAAACCCAATAACATCAGAGGAAGTTGTAAGTCTGAAGCTGCAGTATTGTAATATATTTATTGGCATTTAACAGCATTAAACTATGTTGGCATATTTATCTATTGCAGTTATTTCCAACCATAGTTTTACTGTGGATAGCTTTGTTACAATTGCAAAATATCTATTTGAGGTTCATTTTCCAGAAGTCATAGTATGCAAATATGACATTAGCATTACTTTTTGTTACAATTTTGTGGGTTACCCTTTTGGTTTATTCATACTAGAAGTATATATAGGATTTGGCCTTTTAGAAAATAAATCTCTGATGGGATGCTTGCCCTTATCCACTTGGGGGTGGTAGGGAGGAGCCATTATGTACAGTGATAAAAGAGAATATTTGTAGCTCAGGGATTGAAATGAGAGGTCCTTGATGCTTAGTTTAAGTAATAAAATCTGCAAGAAAACAACCAAGCTCAGAGAGCACCAAGGACCCTCCCCCATATATTCATAACTTAAACAATTGTTGCCAGCAGCTCATCTGTGTGATTGTATTGAATAAGGCCTATTTCTAAGTAGTTGTACAAGATATACAAAATCAAGATTATGTCTTTGCAACATAGCTTAAAAAGATATAACATTCAAATGCATGTGTCTATAAATGAAATTAGCAATCTTAAAAAAAAATTAATGGACAAATGCAATCTAGGCTAAGTGGGCTACTCCTTTGGAGAGTCCATCTGATATTGAGCAACTATGCTGATATGTAAATATATTTTTATTTGCCATTAGGCAGCATAGATAAAATAAAAATACCATGTCCCTTGAATCACTCAATAATGTGTGTTAGAGATATGCAATGATTTGGTTCTAGAAAGATGTTTCAGAGTAATGGTGATGGGTGAATGTAGCATCTGGCTGCAAGTCTTCAAAATAGCTGCATCTTGTACTGGAATCACATGAAATACCGGGTGTGAATTATTTCCAAAGTGCTGTATAATTCTAATGTTTATTACCTCATCAAAAATAATAGAAAACAGGAGGATATTAAAAGTAGACATGGCATCTTTCCTGCCCAATGCACTAGGTATGTTTCTCGCCATACCTAGTGCAACATCCCACATATAAATCAATTGTTTCAACTAATACAACATATGTGCAAATCCATGTACTCGAACGTAATATTCTAAATAGGCTCTTCAGTTCAGTGTAATCTATAGTCAGTTCATATAAAATTCATGAATATGGTATAGTGCAAAATACAGTATAATCTTTTATGGTTTTCTTTGTTTCTTAGAGATTTTGCACAGAAGTTGGCCAATGCTCTATCCCACAATCCCACCTCAGGACTTCATACAATTAATCTTGCTAACAATCCTCTAGAGGACAGAGGTACTGTAACACTTTCATTTCCCACTCATAATACAAGCCCAATAGGAGGATTAGTATACTTCTTTCATTTTTTCTTGAAATCAAACAATATTATGGATTCTATTACTGCATTGTAAATACTTACAATTGTTAATGAAGAACCTTTCCTCTTTCATATATCTATAATCTCTTATGGTAGTTTGTTGGCAGATGATGCTTAATAACTACATGGGACATGAATATATATGGGAGTAGAGGGACTGTATCGCAATATACATAATAAAATGTATGTTGTGATACAGTCTTCAATACTTACCTAACAGCATGCAACACATGATGCAAATCTGAAAGGATAAAGTTTGTGTCATAATGGACATTTTGTTATGTTCAAGTCATGATGGCTAGCTATGGGTTCTGTGAGAAATAGATAGAAATAGAAATATTATAAAGGTGTATTTTATTTTTACTAGCACTTATTTTGCTAAGTTCAGAACAACAACCATTTTGAATAAATTGAAACCTTGCTATAACAATAAAACTTATTTATGTACAAACTGTTCCACTGATTTAATTCAAAAATATTTTCTGTAAAATCTGATCATAATCATATTTTGAACATAAGGGCCTAAAAGAATATTGGCAAGTTAACTTCAGGTCCATACATTTGTTTTTTTTATTACCAATATAGTTTAAAGACTTTATACTGTAATTAGTATGCTGAGGAATCTGTATTAGACACCCTTTCTAGTGAGGAGAAAATATTTATTAAAGCCTATGTTGTGGAGATATGTATGTATGTATATGTATGTACAAACACAAATATGCAGATAAGTTAAACGTTGAGGACAAATTATCATCGTTATTGCTATTTTTAATTGGCCAAACAGCCCAATTTTTGTGCTATTAGGCTGCTGTTTTGTTTTTATATACTTGAGTTTCCAGTAAACTAGACTAAATGGTGAGAACTCACTATTTGAGCTCAAATGGTAACAATAGAATCATATTAACATAGAAAGAGGGGATGGGTATGTTATAGACTGGTGGGGTACAGGAAAATAGCCTTCTTCTTCTGTCCCACCCCATTTTGGAACATTGACTAAATTAGATAAATAAATAAAACTAAATAAGGTAAAAAGTAATTACTCTGCAAATATGTTTTCACTTTTGATGTGGGCCTCATTTTTATTCTTTTACAGGAGTATCTTCCTTAAGTATTCAGTTTGCCAAACTACCAAAGGGGCTGATGCATTTAAATTTATCTAAAACCTCATTATCACCTAAAGGTATATAACATAATTGTGCTTAATTATAATGAAATATATTTCTTTTTAGGTTCTATTGAATATTTATTCATTTCATAGCTTTCCAAGGGTAGGATAAATAATAAGCTTGAACAGTATCCTGCATCACATTACTGTTTGTCTGTGGCAGCCAAAATTAGCTGCAATGCATTTTCACCATTGGATTCCTTGTACTTGATATATTTGACAGGTGGGCATATTGTATAATCTTGCTATCAATGTAGATTTTTACTAAACAAGTCCATGAAAAATTGCTTCTTCCGTGGCAGTAATAACTTGACTGGATTCATGGTGATTTCAGCACCTAAAGCAGGGGTTCTCAACCTTGGCAACTTTAAGACTTGTGGACTTCAATTCCCAGAATTCCTCAGCCAGCAAAGCTGGCTGAGGAATTCTGGGAGTTGAAGTCCACAAGTCTTAAAGTTGCCAAGGTTGAGAACCCCTGACCTAAAGGCTCTATTGCTCAGACTCTTTGCCGTTTCCAACACCTGGCTTTGGTCAACTCACGACATACACCAGGACAGTACACACTGAATTTCTCATCATAGCAACACCACCAGATTCTCCAATCTCTGGCAAGCCACTTGTTATTTTAAGCTGTAATCTTAAGCAGTAAATCAAGCATGCATAATTACTCAGGTCACTTTATCTTGAGAAGTTTTCCAGTCTGCTTCACCGATTCTTTCTCCACAAGATTTGACACTGCTGACTGGCCCAGTAAAACTAGACTTTCCACTTCTAGTAATCTGTTCCATATACATGATATTCAACTCTATGTTAAAGAGAGAAAATGTGAGTAACTGTTCTCATAGGCATTTTTCTTCAGGATCCTTTTTGTCTGTCCCCTCAAGTTCAGTTTATTTTTATTACATCCTGAACAGCACAATTACACCTTCCCTGAAGGGCTCAAAGTGATCAGTTTCTTTTTGCACATCATTATGACACAATAAGAATCCTGTATTTGGTGTGTTATTTTCTTGGTCCATAAGGTCCAAGAGACACCCATCTTTCTCCATCCCTCTCCACATTAAATGGAACATTTCTGTTCACCAAGTTCAATAGTTGTATCAAGCTCCCAGGCACTCCCATACCTGAGAAGACTGTCACTCCATTCATCTCAAGCCTCCTCCAATAGCTCGTCCCAAAGGACCCCCTCCGACTATCCACAATTTGACTTAACTATAGTCTTCTCATGCACCAGATAGTCTTGGGAATGGCTTGTATACAGGACAAGAATTCTTATGTGAGGCATTATAATTTGAAAGACAAAGTTTTAGATGACTGTAATTGTACTATTGCTCTGTATATAACACCCCTTCATTGTCCTTACCTAATACAGAAGTAGACAATCAGTTCACTTTTCAACTTTGAAAGATCTGTAATGAAAGGTATAATACAGTCTGTTTGGAAGTTGTACAGCCTAACCCACCAATTTAGGATCTCTTCTTTGAATTTGTCCATGCCAGTACATCGATGAAACCATCTTTTGCATTTCCCATTTTCAAATACATCAAAAATTCTAAAGAAATCTGTTTCTCTTTCATCATCTTCTTCCAAATTCTAGTGCAGTATGTTGTGGCTGAAGCATTACCATAATACAGGTAGTCCTCGACTTACAACTGTAATGGTGGCTGCCCATTTCTGTCATAAGTCATGATAGTCATGAAATGGGACTAGACCCATTTGTTAAAAACAAACACTGCAGTTGTGAATGCCATGGTCATTAAGTGAACCCATTGTTCACTATGGGGCATTTTTGGCAAAAACTAGAAATAAATGCAAAATGTCATAAATCACAGTTATGCTACTGGAATGCTGCAAACATAAATCCATCACCATGGGAATGGGGGGATAGCCATCAAAACTTCAGAATTGGATAATAAGTAGCCCTGGAACAATCCGTCACAGCGTTGAATGGTCGCTGAGAAACCAGGTGTAAGTTATGGACTTCCTGTATGAATAAGAAAGGCAAGAAATTGGGAGGCAATAACAGAAAATTCTACAGTGGCTTGGATTTCAGTTGTGCTAGCTAACACTGTCTCACTGGATACTAAAATTTTCTATGGGAAAAATCAGCTAATTTATTTTTTTAAGCACTTGAGAATAAGTACACAATTTTTTAAAGATCTTTTAAGCTGAAGCCACGCAGCAAGCAGTAAATAAGCACTATTATGTACATGCAGGTGCCTTAGTTCACAAATGGGACCATCTGTTGTTCTGTTGCAGTACATAGCTTTTTTCCACTGATCTAACTCAGGAGTCTCCAAACTTGGCAACTTTAAGACTTGACAACTTCAACTCCCAGAATTCCCTAGACAGTAGGGCTGGCTAGGGAATTCTGGGAGTTGAAGTACACTAGTCTTAAAGCTGCTAAGTTTGTAAACCC